CCTAACAACAGATGCTTCAACCAAACAGATTTTAAGTATAAGAATTTAATATGATATACAGTAGTAATATGTATATATTAAAAAAATTATATGTATATTAAAATATTGGAAAAGTCATTGTTGTACTACTAAAAAAATGTCTTATCTAAATAATTGTATCTTCATAGCCAATATTTACCAATATTTTAGAAAAACTATAATCTCAAATAAAATTAATTTATAGACGTATGCGTTTGTTATATATATGTATAATATGTATAAGTTCTCTAAAAATCATTCAAAATTCATTATTTTATTCATCTATTATTAATGTCTTATTATTATATATACGTTTTATATTTTAGTTATGGCAGACTGCCCACATACCATCGGTGTAGAGTTTGGAACAAGAATTATTGAAGTGGCAGGGCAGAAAATAAAATTACAAATATGGGACACCGCTGGACAGGAACGTTTCCGGGCAGTTACAAGGTATTACCATATACTTATGGTTTTTAAATTCTGTAATATTGAATTTTGAAGTAAAACAAAAGTACACATCAACCTTGTTTTATAGATCTTATTATCGAGGTGCGGCCGGAGCATTAATGGTCTATGATATTACTCGTCGATCAACTTACAATCATCTTAGCAGCTGGCTTACAGACACAAGGAATTTAACTAATCCAAGCACTGTATGCAAAATATGATATTTTACATAATGGTATTTATGTCTGTAAAGTGTAACTACGATTGATGCGCAAACGTTGAATGATATACTTCTTACATTCCGTATATAAGACATTTTTACAACATAGAAAGCGAAGGCCTTTACATTTTACACTTACAGGTTATATTTTTGATTGGTAACAAAAGTGACTTGGAAGGTCAAAGAGATGTTACCTACGAAGAAGCAAAGCAATTTGCAGATGAAAATGGTCTCATGTTCGTAGAGGCTAGTGCAAAAACGTAAGTTATTAATTGTATTCACAAATTAAGTTTAAGTAATTATGAACTGTAATCCATAGTGTACCCCTTATATTTTTTATCAGGGGGCATAACGTTGAAGAAGCTTTTTTGGAAACTGCAAAAAAAATATTCCAAAGTATACAAGATGGACGGTGAGTATAATTTTAGTGATACTTCTCTTTGTTTTTGTGAATAATTTCAATACATCAATTTCATGCTTATAGCTTGGACTTGAATGCAGCAGAATCAGGAGTTCAACACAATCCAAGTCAACCAGGTCGTACCAATCTTCAAGGAGTATCTAATGAACAACAAGGTGGAAAAGATTCTTGCTCCTGTTAGGTCTTTATTTGTTTGTATATAGATATTTGAAATCATCGGTACTATTAATGCATATATGATTTATACTAAGCATAGCAAGCAAATAGTCTTTGATCTTTATCCCTTAACCTTTAATAAGACAAATCTACTTAATAAACATCAGTTCTTTTATAGTTATAATTAATTTACAAAAACATATGATATGAACACATGACTCAGTATAAACGTATACGTATAAATTGTATTGAAAACAAATTCTGTATTTTGCTTCAATGTTACAGCTTTTGTATGATTGTCGTGATTTGCATACATTTCCTATAGATATTATAATTTGTTTCATACAAAAATTAAATATTAAACAATATGTTGCACATGCGAACATTATGATACACATGTACAAGTGCATTGTACGAAATATTTACTTAATCACATGAAAATATGATAAACATGAATGTGACACAGTTGAATAAGATAAATATCTACCATTGTAAAGTACGTTTATGTAACAAGATTTGAGTATATCTGAAGGTGTTCGTTATCTAATTTACAGTTTGGAAGCTGTACTATAAGCTTAGATACAAAAAATTGTTGGTAACACATCTACACATCTGAGTAGCATCAAACAGCTGTCATAAAATGGCATAGTGAAACAAAATTAGTGTCATTTATATTATTTCATAACTACAATCCTGCTTTTATATCAAATGAACCTTTCATAAAAAAAACCTATATATTTTATTCTGAGCTCAACAAATTTTTATTTCTAAATAAAATTCTTAATTTTGCAATACTTTGAAGTTAGTGAAAGAATGAAGGTTTGCAGTGTTCTCCCGATAGCAGTTTTGTCGTATAGAATAGACACGTACATGTTAGCACAATTTCTTATTTTTCTTTCCTTTACATTTTGCCAAAAACTAGAATATAAAAAACAGTAACTTCTTAAATGATATGGTAGTTATTGATACTCAATTTGAATTATGTTTCTTTAGAGAAGTTTAAAAACAAATATTTGAACGGCAGTGGCAGTGGGAGTTACCAAATGTATGAATGTCAACATATTATATATATTTAAATTTGTCTTTTCATTAGCTATGACATTACACTAACCATATGCACTCCTATTTCATAAACAGTGTGCACAAACAAATTTCTTCTTTGGGACCATTTTTACTCTATGGGCAGTATGATAACAATTTTTACATAAATGATACTAGATTGTCATGAATTATAAAGACCAAGCTCCCATCAAGAGGACACTGCTTATTGTTATGGTTAACATTATTCCAAGA